ATATCCTTCACCTCACCATACAAGACCACACCAGGGTTGATTACAGAAATACTAGCACAGGTCTGTGTCAAATCAATAACGTGACACGGTGTCAAGCTTATCACAGGGGTTTCACTGTTTATTTTCATTTAGTGCCTTGTCACCACCAGGAACATTCCAGGAAGTCCCCAACACAAGGACACCAAATATAGCCTGGGACACAGCAGCTGGGACTGTCCTGCACAGATATTCCACTAGAGAGTGAACAACCTGGGGTGCATTTCTGGAGATAACAGAAAAGCACAGGGATTATTTGGGAGCCAGACAAATAACCTGGGTTAGCAGGCAGAGCTGGATTCTGCAGCTCTGCCCCCACATATGTTCCAGTGCTGCCTGGAAAGGCTGAGCTGGAACAGAGACCAGGCAGAGCAAAATGGATAAAATAGGAATTTATTGAAAGGATTCACCTTGGGCAGTGCAAGAGCCTGGCTGGGGTTACACCCAAATCAAATCCAAGATGGATCCTGGTCACGAGTTTTTACACTTTTATAAGTTTTGGTTTATTTATATAATTGGGGTCAATTATCCAACCAGGGCCCCGGGCTATGAAATCTCAGCCCCCTGGCGTGCCCCCTTTCCCTCTCTGCTGTTTCTGCTTTTTGGGTACCAGTTGTCCTTGATTCTCCAGCCAGAAAGGAATTGTTTTGTCCAACTCCCCTGTGAAGAGAACTTACTACCACCTGACATGAAGTTTCAGAGTTACACACTGAGCAGCAGAGATTCTGAAAAACACCAAAGCTAAACCCCAAGGCATGACCAGGAGGTGGTGCTGTCCCTTGCATGCCCTGAAATCACTGGTTTGTCCCTGCAGAGAAAAACTTCAGCAGATCCAGGGCACTTTATGCAAGTGCACGAGCCCCTGAACTCAACTTTCATGAAAAAGGAACTGTTAAATGCACGTTCAGCATTTCTGAGAATTCCATGCCGATCGGCTCCAAATGCTTCCAGTGTGAACGCATTTGTCCTGGGAAGAACAGCAGCTCTTCAGTGCTCTGCATGAATTCAAAGCACGGGCTGTTACTCACAGAGAATAAACCTGCTGTGCCACCCATCTGTGGCAGCCATCTGGGACAGATGTTAGAAATGGAAGCTGCCACGAGATTTAGGGTTCACTATCACCCCACCTCCCACCTCGATCAATTACCCCTCAAATGACCCAATAAGAAATTTATGGATCCCACCTGACTGAAGGAAGCAACACAGATACTTCCCATTTCCTGATAAACCAACGTTTATCCTTTCCTGATAAAGCAACAGTCCAGAGAGCAGATCAGGGCTCTGCCTGCCCCATCCTATCCCATCCCACCCAACCTCTGCTGCTTGGAGAGCTGGAGCTCACTTGAATCTTTTATGGGCATAGAATTGACCATGTATTACATATGCAAAGTCAGACAGATTATCGGTTTGCTCCCATTTACTTGCTACCAAGAACCTCAGTTTCTTAAGCCAAATAAATCACCTTTAAAACATGTTAATGATCAACAAACATAAACATTCCTCACAAAATTCTGAAACAAAATTATTGGTTATTCACGTCCAAGTTCTATAAATTTCACTGCATGTCCATCTGGCAGACAGCTGCATTATTTATTTGCTGTCACACTCAGTAAATTGATTTACTGGCATTTAAAGGTGTCATCTTTACTCATTACCATTTCAGTGATCACTCCAGCACTGCCAACGTTGCACCAATGACCTGAGTTTCAACTTTTAATCTCTCCTAAGACTGAATTCCACATGCAAAGCAGTACATGAAGAGACAGAGCAAACTGAAGGACTAAGGTGCTTTGATTTCAAGTTCACTGATCTCTGTACAGTAACAATTTGATAAGAAAATTAATTTAATGACACAAGTGCAACATACACTTTTTTGAGCCCGAGGTAAACTTCAGAACTGGCAGCACTGCTGTGCAGAATTAAGATAAGGGGACTTGATATACAAGAAAAAGGAAAGGGGCCACATCCAGCAGCACCCATCAGCTTGAAAATGCATCAGAACACAAGAGACTCGAGGTGTCTGGGCTGTATTCTAGGACACTCAGTGATAAGTGCAAGAGATTTTCAAGAAAAGCTGCAATGACCCCCCCAAGCTCCCTGATCTGTGTGCTCCAGCACAGCCTCAGGCAAACAGCTCCAGAACCATCCCCACTGAGCCAGGCACTTCTGGAAACTGAATTCCAGCTGAAATAACACCACTGACAGCCCCAGGCAGCACAGGAACCAAGCAGAGCAGTGAGCTGCAGCTCACAGCCACACACATATAAATATAACCAAACTGCAGGAAAAGTTGGGGTTCTGATCATGCCTCACTAGAGAAAAACATAATTAAAACCATTAGGTTTGGAAAACTTCCAGCCCTATGAATCTGCCAAAGACATTTATGATGATAGAAGAATAATAATGTCCAGTAAAATCCCTGGACATAAAAGCACTAAAAGTGTTTTACAGTCAAAAATCTGAAGAAAGAACATTCTAAATCAGTTAATATGCATCTTCTATAGAAAAGGAGCAAGCGTGACTTTTACATCTCATAAAGTGGAGCTTGACTTCACAGCTATCTGTATCCTATCACACTTTCCCTGTCAGACTAAACATCTCTTGTTTGGATGCAAAGAGAGCAACTCCTCTCACAGGGTATTTTTGATGAAAATGAAGTCGAGGCTTTAAAAAAAGCAGAGCCCAAGTCCCTTCTGTGACAGCAAATTTCTGCTGCTGCCATGCACTGTGCATGGCGAGGCTTTGAAGGGTGCCCAGGATGAGAAGGAATTCATAACACCATCCAGCAAGAGGGGTGCATGACAGTAAAGCATATTGACATGCTTTGCTCTTTTTATTGATCCATGCAGCAGGCTCTTACTTGAGGTAGCATTCAGAGAAATGCCTCATTTAGTTGAAAAGAAAAAAAAAAAAAAACTATTTCACAGTTTTTGGAGAAAACATTTGGCAGAGTGCTGCCATCTGCACCAATATTTGAAAACCAAGCCATTCAAATGCTCATAATTTACTTAATCTTAGCAAGATATTTGGAAATTAGAGGCTTTTTATTACATTTTTCCAAAGCAGCGCCACTTTGCATATTGAGTATTTAGATCCATCTGGAAAAGTGACACTCAAAACAACAAAGCCTTTTCAAGCCCACACCACCTTGTTGTACCAGGCTCTTCATACAGACTGAGCACATGACTTCCAGAAGCTGCTTTTGGGAAATCAGGGTAAGGGCAGACAAAATCTACAAAGAATGTTCAGATGGTGTCCACAACAATTATAAAGCTCTCAGAAGCATCTACACTCAAGTGTGTTGTGATGACTTCCTGCAATTTCCCCTGTTTATTTTAGAATCAGGCACAAGAGAGCAGCTCAGAACTCCTTTCTTGAATAGGTTTGAGAACTTTAAGAGGTTTAAGAATTTCCCAGCTGGTTGTACTGACAAATAATTCCAGTTTTGGATCAGTCCGAGCAATAAGTGACATAAGAAAGGAATTTCCAACACACAGGCACTGGAGCTGGAGCCTGGTTGGGATTGCACCTGTCAGAGACAGAAACTGGAGACAGACTGTGGCCATTTGTAGTTTATTTAAAGAAAACATCTTCTGTCACCCTGCTTTCAGTCACCACCCTGGTTTTGTTTCATGTTTGCTGTTCAAGCCTGGGAAAGGTGGAATGAAGACTTTGTTGATTTTAACTAAACCACAAAGCTGCCCACTAAACCTTGACTACAGCACTCTGCCTAACACAGAAAAACTCCTTCCATTTTACCCTGAGCCTCCTCTGAACACAACACCTGGAGCAGGCATCCAGGAAAGGGAGCAGAAAAAAACCTCCTGGAATGATTCATTACCAAAGCAAGTCAAAACCAAATGCCAAGAGCATCATTAAGCTTTACTGCAACAGATCAGTGACACACTCAGGGTAAGGCTTTGGGAAAAAAGGTCATTGCAAAGTCCCCCTGCACAGCCTGGAAGTTTCTAAGAGCAGCCTGCCAGACCTTTCCAGGCATTTGCTAAAATCTGGAGGACTTCAGACTTCAGAGCAAGGTGCTGCTGTGAAGCACAGGTGAAAAAAAAAAGGCCATTTGCTGCAGAAAAACAATAATTTTCCAGGAAAATGTTCTAAAGAGATGAATCTTACCCAGAGTTTGGATATGAACTGTTCATCCAAGAAATGCCCAGCAATGAAAGATTAACGTGCACTTTACTTTAGGGGCTTTGAACATAAAACTATCCTCCCACCTTCAAATCTACTTTCCTGAATTTCTTTGTGCAGAATATTTACAATGCCTGCTTTCATTCTTAAGCAAACAGCAGAAGGAATATCTTCTTTGAGCAAACAGGTCTGGACAGACTGCAGAAATTTGCCAAATATTGATTTTGTTAGGGACGAGCTTGAAATTTCCATCTTGTTTCAGTTTCACTCTGAATGAACTTTTAGAAAGTGATTTTTTTTTTTTAAACAAATGTATTATGCTGCATTAAAAGAAGTGAATTAAACTTCTTCAGATAATGAACTGAAACACCTATGATAAGTGAGTAATTAAGAGCAGCAGGAATTTATCCTTCAGGGTTAAACAGAACACTGGGGAAATGATGTTGTCCTGAGAGGTTGTGTCAGTCAGGCACTGTGCCTGACTGGCCCAGATGTGGCTACTGGCAGGACACAACAGCAAATCAGCCAACTTCTCTGAAGTGTTTTATTCTCCAAGCCTTTTCCCCAGGGACACTTTCAGTTGGGTCTCTTCCCACTCCTTGTCTATCAGGTTCTATAAAACTTACCCTGATACCTTTGGGCTTGTGTTCTATCAAACCAGATTTGGTGAATGCAAATAAGTGAAGAAACTGGAAATTCCATCTACAAGCCCTTATTTCTGCTGGAAACTAAGTTTAAAAGATGTTACAAGGAAAGCAGTCTTCACAATGTTTGTGTAAAGCATCGTGAGCATCCAAGAGTCACAGGAGAAGCATTACCTGCTTGTAGCTCTCTGGGTGTCTAATGAGATCTGTTTCTGTGACAGAAAAATGTCCGAGGTTCTGGTCCATGTGGGAGCCACTTGTGAATAAATGGATCTGGAACAGATTGATTTCAAAGGTATTTGTTAGTGCAAGGAGCAGCTGATTAATATCATTAACATCATTAACTGCCACCCAACAGCTGCATGGTGATGTGGGTACAAACCCTTTCCCAAGGGACATGGGCAAATGTGAGTACTGCCACCAACACTGCAGCCAGAATGGACAGGATGAACATGCACACAACCACCTCCCAAAATGGTCCAGCCTTGCCAGAACTTGCAGGAATTGCAACCACTGCTGCCACAGTAAAACTGAAGGGGTTTTTTTCTTCATTCTGTCTTGAAGTCTTTTTTCCTTCCAGTACACATGGCCTGGTGCATGGCATGAAAGGAGAAACCATTTACCCAGACAGCAGCAGTCTTAACTGAGCTGAAGTATACTCTCAGAATAATTTTTATTTCTTCCTTTTAAGTAGAAAATGCTACCAAGTTACAGTAAGGTTCTCTTTTGCTGCTCTACACTCTTGGCTTTTGCTTACCAAGACCTTGTCCCAGCTGCACTGGTGATAGTATCATCAATTACTTGATGAAGAAGCTTCCCAAGTTAGTCAAGGGAACAATAAAAAGCAATTCCTCCTATTCAGAGCTGATCCCTTTGTTACTGTAATAACTGCAGCTGCCAAACAAGATAGCAGTGCACATTTGTCAGACAATCACTCATATTTCATTAATATTTCTGCCAGAAGACAGAGAATGTTTCCTGCTTTTCTTCCTTTATTCTAATACCAACTTTATCACACACTTGGGTATTGACAACTATTTTAAAGTTGACAGGCACTGGGTAATTATCAACCCTTCCGTGAAACTTTGGAATATTTTAGCGTTCCTTTCCCCAAACTCGCTGCTGGTGACAACCATCTGTCACATGTGCAGAGCTCTGCGAGTTTAAAAATAAAAGAGCACCTCCCCACACAATGTTCTTCCTTTCCTCTTGCCACTCCTCTCTCTCCCTGCTGCATTCTTGCATAATTCTGGCTGCCAGACCTTGGGAGTAACCAGCCGGGAATGTCAGCCCCTTTTCCAGGCCAGGTGGCAGCAGCATCCCTGGGTAAAGCCCAAAACAAACACAGCAAAGCTGGAAGAGCAGAGGAATGAGGTGTTCCCCTGAGACCAGGCTGGATGGATACTGAAATCATCCACTGTTTGGATTTTTGCTATCTCTGATAACTGCTAGAAGCCAAACAAGGCTCAAAGAGGGGAAGCAGGTGAGAGGGTGAGAGGCAGAACACGCTCACCTGGCACTGGAATCCCCAGGTGAGGTGGAGGCAGGTCAGATTTAACCTCACACCAACCTTTGTGCACAGCCCTCCACACCCAGCACCAATTCCTAAATTGTCCTTGAGCTCGGGCAAGCTGCTCTCCCTGCAGGGTGCCTAATTCACCTAGAGAAGATGGGAAGGGGGCTTGCTCGTGGTTCACACACATTTTGCATGAGAGGAAAAAAATTCTGCTGCATTAAAGAATGTGCTTTGGAGATCTAACAAATTCACCTTGGGGAAAAAAAGCAAAGATTTTCAAACCAAACAGACAAAATAGAAACAAACAAGGTAGCAATTCCCAGAGTAACATGGTAGATTTTTCATGTCAAGATACAGATGCATCTAACAATTGCAGTTTAGCTCACTCATAAATTACTGACAATGAGGTAATTACCCAGCACCAGTCCCTGCCCTCTATTATTCTGAGATCAAGACTTTGTCCTTGTCCCTTTGCTCTTACTACCTCAGATATATGGATACAACCCCTCCAATCCACTGCACTACATCTTATTTTATGCTGTTGATCTTAGAGGGGGCACAAGAAACCATTCCACTCACAGGTGGTAATTCCCATCTGCATTCTTACTGACAATACAGCTCTTGCTTTTAGTTTCCAAGCACATTGAAACCATTATCATTGCTTTACCATGATCTGATAATTCCAATTATGTTCAACTCTTCTTCTATCATTGAGAATTCCATTAATGAGAATTCCATTGAATATCATTTTATTCTTACTTGCCCCTGCGCACAGCCCATAATCAGATATTCATCTGCTTAAAAAAAAACCCAAAAAACATCTCTGAACCTGATCTAACCCTCCACTACTTCAGGATGGAAGACAGCTGAAAATACCCCCAGGAAATCCATCAGTTTTGCAGAAAATCACCTGCTCCTCTAGTTTTTATAACATGCCAATTATGGCACAGTGCAGTTAAAAGAACCCCCCAAAAAATGAAAGTTTCAAACTCTCCAGGTTCCTGTTTTGCTGAAACTATGCAAGGCCTCTCACTCATATCTTTTAAGGCAAAGACTAAATAAAAACAACTGCTCTCTCCTACGGATTCAAGAGGGATCAAAACCTGGGCAGACAGATATTCTTCTGGCATTTGACAGAACAAAAAAAAAAAAAAAGAGAATAGAAGGAAGCAAGAGACGTGCCTTACACAGTAATTTATTCTCCACGTTCCCCTGTATTTGAAGGCACACCAGGTAAATATGTACCACTGAGAATTTCGAGGGAATTAGAATGCTATTACTACATTATACTTTCAAAGCCAGCCAACCTGTCCGTGTTGAGAAGCCATTAAAATGTTATCCAACAGCTCATAGCCTCGGGCTGCAAAATTCCTCAGGAACAGAGAGGTTAAAGATTCCCCTCAGGAATCTTCCTCCTACAGCAGGACATGTGTGCTTCTGTAAGCTTCAACATCCCTTCTGGGAGCTGAAGGCACTGCAAAGCTGCTCATCAGAGCAAAGAGAACAGGCAGGCAGGGCCAGCCAACCAGCAATTGCCAGCACAGGACCAGCTGTAGCCCATGGGTGGCTTCCTTCCCTCTCTTGGGGACTGCAGAACCTCATCCCACCCACCTCAAGTGGCTGCAGGCAGGACAGAGGAGACAGAGGACACAGAGATATTCATACTGAAAAACGGAGTGGAAGGAAGAGCAGTCATCTTCTGAGTGAGAACATACCTCCCAACTGTGCTGTGCTCTTCTCAGAAGGGCCCAAATAGAGAAAATGGCATTTTAGAGTCCGTGTGAGTCACAGAATGAAATCTGCAGAAGTGTCACCACTAGTTGACAAAAATTACAGCTCCTGATCAGCAGTAAATAAGATTGTTCCAGAGCTGAGACACATAACCTGGTACGTTATAAACAGAGCGAGTAAAAGCTGTAATTATCATTTTGTAGAGAAAGCCCTCTGTAAATCTGTCAGCATAATTAAAAAACCTAACACTCATTAGCCTCTTGCATACTGTGTTTGTGGTTTATTAGAGGAAAGCAGCAGCTCATATAGAGGTCACACTGGGGCAGCTCAGTCTTCTAGCACATAGAATAGTTTAAAAGTTGGGAAATTAATGCAGCAGTAAAAGCAATTTCTCTAGAAAGAGTCAGGAAATATCAATTATTGTTTATACAGCTGTTAAATTGTGGAAGTATGACATATTTTGTGCTACTGTAAATGCTAACATTAAGGGGGCACAGTAATGAAGTCCTTCCAAAGCCACACTTACCTTTCTATTCTCCTGCTTTTAATTCAGACTAACACATAAATCAGAGCACTGCACTTTATTACAGCTCTGGACAGAACTCCCACAGCTGCACACACAATATCAGTGTGGGCTCAGTTTGTGCACCCCATGGTGGCAGCCCTGGCTGTGACAATCACCACCAGCACCAGCTCAGCCCAGCAGTGGCTGCTGGAGAAGGCAGTAATGACAGCTTTGGGGAACTGCATGAACACACACACAATTCTCCCTCCTGCTTATTCCTCCACATTCTGGAAACCATGGACCAGGGACCTGCAGCATAAGTACTGGATCCCAGAAATCTGGGATTTTTGAGCTTTCTGTGCTTTCTGGAAGTGACCCCCAGGAGAACACTGCTTTTGACTTGAGGCCTCCAAGGCCTTCTCCAAGAAGGCTCCAAATTTGAGTGATGGAGTTAAAATCACTGGTGTGTAGTTAAAACAAAAGTGTGTGATTTCACATGGTGAAGGGTTTTGAATTTGAAGTTTTTATAATATAGTAATAGGTATGGGACGAGGAATTTGGGTGTTGTCTCCTTTCTGTCTTCTTCCTTCTTCTTTATGATTTCAGGCAATAGTTTCTGTTTGGACAGTCAGTGCTGCACTGAGGGTCACAGGGGTTTGGTTATTGGGTCAGAAGTATAAATAATACAGGTGTCAGTTCTCTATTGGACTGTTTAGCTTTAAAAAACCCTTGTAACTAGCTAGACTCAGCTCAATTTTGCTCACTTTTAGCTGGTAGCTAGAAGTGTTGCAGAACTCTCTGTACTTTAGATAAAATTTAATAAACAGCCAGGCCCGAACACGAGAAAATTCATCTCCTTTTTGTTTTTAATCCTGGCTCTGAATGAAGACAGAAGAAACTGCAGACAAGGCACTAATTAAGTGGTGCAGATACCACCTTCACAACTAACCTGTCTCTTGTAGTTGTCTGACCTTCCTAACTTTAGCACACATTTTGCCTTAGATAACCACAATGGGGGAAAAAAGTCCAAGTTTATCTCAAAGTACAACTTCCACAGGAGGGTCACCATGTCTCATCTCCCCTATCAACAAGTTTAGCCTGCTGCCCCATCTCTTCATTACCTCAGTGCCTCATTTGGACTGCTGAGTATCTGTTTGTGCTCCAGCTCCCAGGTTTGACCTGCTCTTAATTCTTCCTCAGCCTCATTAACTGCACGCTGAGGCACTGGAGCTGCCTAATGATTTGTTACTGTCAAGCCTCACATAAATCAGAGCACTGATGATGAGTTATGGAGGCATTTCTAGCCTCACCTGCTAGAAAAAGCAGCACACCTTCAACAGAGGTGGTGCATCAGGGGGAGAAGTGCCAATCATTTCATTTGAGATTCACCTCTCCCAACCCCATCACAGTCTGTCATCGCAGTGCCAAGAGCCAAGGACTGCCCTGGCACTCAGAGGGAACTGCCACCTTTGCTCCCAGAGCAGGGAAGCACATCAGCAGTGGTCAGTGAGAAGCAAAAGGTTATTTTAGATGCTGCACACACAGCACCTGATCCCTCTTCCCCACGGCTGTCAATCAGTCTGCCTTAGCCAGTTCATGGAAAGAAAATATAACCTCATTATAGCTTTTAGCACTGCTCTGCCAGACACGGGATCAAAACCAAGAAGGAATCTTCATTCAAAGGTGAAGATGATTCTGACAACTTTTTGATGTGTATTTTGGGAAGAAATGTCCCCAAACCGTTTTGAGTCTCAAAAAAAGGATTTCTCTGAAGGTTTTGAGTACAGTAATAGCTGGCTCCATTTAAGTTATCTAAAGATATATAAATGGAGAAGGGGCACCTAGGGAAAGCAATTCTTAGTAACTTTTAGGACGGTCTAAAGAACTGTAATTTTTGTTTCTGGAGTCACCATTGCTGTTGACTTTGGGACTGAAGGCTGGTTCCATCCTAACCAGACAGAATGCTCCCAAATATCTGTGATTAGACAGGCATCTGCACACTCACAAATGGGAAAAGAACTGGAGCCTTAGCAATGCAGGCACCATTACTGATTCCTGATTTAAAAGCAGGTAAATTTGGGGTTCTGCTGAGATGTCCCCTAGCACTTTGGAAAGAGATTTTTGCATTTTTTTTTGCTATTACTTTGAATATTTATGCTTAACATTCTGAATGCACATTTCCAGTGAACTTATAGTTCTGCATCACTACTTCTTGTCTGGAGAACCAGAATGCTCTGTCTTGTTTCTACCAGGCATTTTCTGAGAAAAAACAGCAGCAGCTTGTGGTTGCAGAAGTGACTAATGTGCCAACCTGCAAAAGAGACTTTTATACAATTACAACCTAACAAACACTGAACACACAACATTTTCTCATGGTTCTGCCACACTGGGGAAAGACAGAGGTGCTTAGAGTGCTTCACTCTTATCTACAGAAAATGCAGAACTAGCAAACGAGAATAATCTGTACATTTAGCTCTTGCTGACAAGGCTTTTAAATAATAAACTATGCCATAGTGAGTTAGAGGAATCATTTACCTTGTGCAGAAGTTTGCACTGCTCCTGGTACTGAGCGTGCAAAGCTCCCCACTGCAACCTCAGCCTCCCCTGTAAGCACTGCAGGTAGCGAACATCCACCCTGTCCTCAGCTCCTGCTTCACCTGGACCTTCCTGGCTGCTGGCCACGTCCTCTTCACACTGAAAGCAGGAAACAGCAGCACAGGGGTTTTAATTCGTTTCAACTTTTTCAAGTCGTTCAGGAGTGAACATACAAGGTAAGTGGGCCAAATCGCCCTAAAATGAAGTCAATTCCAGCAGTACAGAGAAATCAGAGTGCAGGACTGGGAACAGCCTAAACAAGCAGAGAAGTGTGGAATAAATATCAGCTTCTCAGCTGTGACGTGCTGAGCTGTCTCCTCTCCCATCTTTCATTTTCCCTACCCAGGAGGACACAGTGTTCCTGAGACAGCAAGCATGTTCCTTGCCCAGATGGGAAAAATTGTATTTTTACTGGGTTCTAATATGTCAAAGAACATAAAAAACAGATTTAGCTCCTGCAGTGTCTTCCTGAGACCCTATTTTGTAAATCAATAACTTATATAGGGACAAAATCATTGCCCTGTTCTTGCCCAGCTATTTTCTTTTCTCCATCCAGCATTTCCCGTCTGGCAGGATTGAGGAAAAGGAGAAATCATGCAGCTGGCAATGGCCAGGACTGCACAGCTCCAGCTGTATCATCTGGCTTGCTTGTTTTGCCTTTTTCTAGAGTAATTTGGAAGGAAGAAGAGAGAGGGAAGGAGTTTCCATTTGTTTATCTTGTCCCACTTTTCTTCTGCTGCAGATAAAAAAGCCAACAGCAGCCAACACCTTCATCCTCTGATGAAATTCCTGCTGCACATTTCTGTCATCCCTCCTTCCTGAGGAATACAGGGAATTCCACCTCCCCCAGCCCCATCACAAAGAGATCATTCACATGTACAGACAGATCTCTCCCTTTTCAGCTAAAACTCCTGCAGATTGCAAATTAAAAGGGGAAGAAGCCATGGGTAGTTTTACTTCTGATGCCAGTAATACCATTTAAAGTGAAGCTCCCCATTTCATGCAGTCTATAGGAATGGCACACAATAAACACAACCCATCATTCCAAATATTTCTACTACAACATGTCACAAGAAATAGGAATAACACACAACTGCAGAGGCCTGGTTATTCAGAATGGATGTTTGCCATTCTGAAAGGAAGTGTCTCCTGGTTCTTAGACTTTCAAGACATTTCTTTAAAGCAGAAATTTTAAAAGCCTTCTTGAAACATGACTGTTTTCAAGAAAACACTTCAGCAGATATTTGGACCCACAGACCTTGATGGTATTTAAACATATGTGCTTCCCTGCTTCATAGATTTCCACGTTCAGTAAAATCTTCAAAGGATCCAGTTGGCAGGCAAAGCTGGAATGTAGTTCCAATTTGGATCCTAAACTAACAATGCAAACTGTAAAATGAAGAGATTTAATCTTGCCTTAGATTTCAACAGAAGTTTGTCTACAACCATGATCAAATAACCCCCTAACTCTTGTTTTAACCTAAATATCTCCAGCTGACAGGGCCTGTATCACAATGAGTGTTCCTATAATTTATAAGCACAGAAATGCTGTTCTGGTCACATAGCAAACTGTATCAATATTACAGGTTTGTTCCATGGCTCAGATAAACACGTGCTATAAATCACAGAGGTACAGGGCTGGTAAAAGGCTTCTGCTTTGAAAGGCACAGATTCATCTCTAACCAAGGGAAAAAAGAAAAAGGAGGAAAGAAGGAGAGAAGGGAAAGAAGAGAGGAAAGGAAGAGAGGAAAGAAGGGAAGAAGAAGGAAAGAAGGAGGAAAGAGGGAAAGAGAAGGAGGAAAGAAAGGAGGAAAGCAAGAAGGAGGAAAGCAAGAAGGAGGAAAGCAAGAAGGAGGAAAGCAAGAAGGAGGAAAGCAAGAAGAAGGAAAGCAAGAAGGAGGAAAGCAAGAAGGAGGAAAGGAAGAAGAAGGAAAAAAAGAAGGAGGAAAGAAGAAAAGTTTGTGCCAATTCCAATGTCCCTCTTCCTCCTCTGTTCCTTTGTCTCCAGGCCCCTAATCTCCACAGTTTTTTGGGGAAATACCCTGTTTTGCCCCAGACAGGATGGTTTCTGGAGCAGGAAAACATGCAGGTATGATTACCAAGGTGTCCATTAGCATGATAAGCCAAGCAGTTGGATATCAGACCTGGCAGCAGAGAAAACCCATGTGTAAAGAACATTAAAACACCTCACATAAGCAGCTAGAAAGCCACAAGGCCGAAGACAGGCTTGGGAATCCCAGATTAAAATCTGCATTGTCCATAATTTACAGTTCTACTCCAGCTTCCCTGGTTAGAGGTTTCAGAACAGCACAAATACTGCTCTCCTGGGGATTTATTTCAGGAAGGAATGGCATTAGACTCGATTGCTTTGGCAGTACAGTGACAAACACCATGCAGAGCTAATTTTATTGTAGCAACCTGCCTTATTAATATTAAAATAAGGAAGCCAGCCAATGCATTTTTAACAGGACCTCTCCATTATTTATTTCACAAACTGCACAAAAATTTACTTTTGCTATGAAATACTTAGCCTGGCATAAAGTAAACAAGGTTAAAAAAAAAAAAAGGTCCTGCATATTATACTGTGACCTCAATTTCCAGTCCCATCTTTACAATCTAAGACTATTTACTGCTCTCTCAGTGGGTGAAAAATCACTAAAACACCAGCCCAAGCTCCAGTCTTTGCTTCAAATACCACTGTGAATTTATCTAATCGATGCAGCAAGCCAGGTACACACCTACATTCACTCTGAGATACAGAAGTGCAGATTTTTCAGTCCAGTTCACAAAGAGAGCACCCAGAGACCTCAGCAGCCTTCCCACCCTTGGAATGCTCCAGGCCACTTTTGGAAGAGATCATTCCACAGCCACTTCCCAGAGAAGCATTTTCTGCCATTAATTGTTTGCTGCAATTAATGCTTCTCTTTGATTCCATCTCAGAGAAGGGATGTGCCTGGATCAGCTGCAGGAATTGGTAGCAAACATCAATGCCCTCATCACCATGCTGGGAATATTTTCCCATTACTGGTGGTGGTCTGGTCAAACTGGGTGATGTGGACTGCCAGAGCACCCCTGAGCAGTGTAACTTTGGATTAAGCAGAAGATTAAATAAATAATTAAAATAATAAATCATAAAAATGAATTGATTAAGCAGAAGGTAGAATGATAGCTCCTCATTTCTACTCTCACCACACCTCACCCCAAAGGAGATTTCCATCCTAAAAGCTCCAAGTTTTAACTTTTCAGTATCCATCCTTGGCAAGACTTAGAAAAGCAAGCACAAGCCTGATCACAGTGACAAACATACATTGACATGAGCTCTCTCCAAGCCAGTTTCTGAACCATCAGCCTGCCCACACTTGAGCAGAACCAGCTCTCCTGTGGTAAAAGATCCAGGAGAAATAAAGAGCTAAGCCCCAGAACAAATACACATTCCAAGACATCACCCATCACCATCCCAGTTAAGGTGGCTCACAAACTACAAAACTTGCCCCAGGCTCACAAATACACCTCTGGCTTAGTCAGACCTGAACATGGTTTATGTCCCAAAAACATAGATTTAACCATTTTTGCAAGGCAGCCTAAAATTCAGTCTTTAACACACAAATTTTGCCCTTAACATTCCATCCCAAGCTATTTCAAGTCAAATCATAAAAAAAAAAAAGGTGTCATATCATTCCCAAGAAGTGTGAATAGGCTTGTGGTTAGACAGTGCAGCAAGTGCATTAAAAACTCCCAACACTGTCCAAGTCCTCCTGGCAGAATTGTTCTGAGCAGACAAGTCAGAGTCATGAAATACAGTGAACTAAAAAAGCCTTTAGATATGAAAGTACTCCGAGGAAAAGAATAAGGGGTGGGAGAAAGGAGGGTGTGAAAAAGACATGGTGCTGTATCAATCTTCAGTCACATTCCATACATCTGAGGAAACAACTTGCATGCAACGTGCTCAGAGAAAAATTAAAGATTAAGAAGTTCCAACTTCAACAGCAGAAATGAAGCTTTTCTTTTTGGTTTGAAATATAAAGCAATCCCACATTATCAGGAATCAGAGAGCAGGTGTACCAACGGTGGATGGAAATAAATTAAACAAGTACTTCATCATATAAATACTTCATCAAAGAACAACACTGGCACCAGTGTGTTTGTAGACACGTGAGAAGGGAGCATTTCTTCCACTGCCTGCTCCATTTGAGGATTTTAGTGACTTGGTACAGAGTAGATCTTGCTCTGTTCATACACTAAATTACACAAACTCCAAAAACTGATTTAATGCAGAATTCCTTGCAGATCTGGCAATATGCCACAAGCATGACTGCAGAGGAAACACTCTGCTGTGTAACTTCATCTAGACTTTCTGCACTATTCCTACTGATATAGGAATCTTTGAGGCTTATAAATCCTTACCTTAATAAATTCATGTGCCCTGTGCAGGCAATGGGAGAGAAAAAGCTGTGCTGCCTGCAGTGCTGTAAAACACAGAACGGCAGGGCTGGCTCCCCCAGGGATGCTCTTTCCTGACTGTGAGCTGCCACCTGTCGGCCCAGGACAGAGCCCAGCTCATCCCCACCGAGCTGAGCCTTTCCCAGGCATCCTCCAAACCCCCCCAAGCACCGGCTCTCTGCCTCCACATCTGGACAGACAGCAAGCAATCTGCTGCTCATGCTACCCATGGAGAAACCAGCCTGCTGGAACGTGGATAAGGTGATTAACCCATGGATACATGCACGAGGTCAAATCCTTGAGCAGAGCAACACAAAGCAGCTGCCAGCTGAACCCTCCAGTGCTCACCTGCACTGGGTTTACCCTGGCTGCAGACAGAAAATATTTCTGAGTTACCACTCAGATCTTAACCACACACAGCACACAGCCTGGTGTCACAAAGGTGGGTAGGAGCATATTTAGATCCTCACTGCAGGGCTCAGGAATGGCAAAGGCAATCCCATAAATCAAGCCAATAAAGGGCTCCTGCAGCTTTTACTGAGCGCTCGTTCCGAACCGCTCGTAATTCACACGGTGGTTTTGATGTGACATAACATATGTTAACTTCTGTAATTACACATCTTTAAACAGAACATCTCTTTTTTTCTTTAAATTAAACA